GATTAACAAAAAACTTATTCCGGTAGAGTGGGCAATGATTAGTAATGAGGACAGGTGATGACAATCAATCCAGAATTCTAAAACAATATAAAATTTATCCCTGTACCACGTTATTCAATTTTTGAATTTCTGTCCCAGATTGGTTCCCTTGCAGGTGTCACCTCGTGACATTGATGATTAAAGCAAATTATCGGGGTTGCACGGTTCAATGAATTTCACCAAGAGTTTTGAACCAATGCATGCTCAAGATTATTTCAGAAATATTGCTAGGTAATATCAAGAAATCTAATGTAAACATTTGTTCATTGAACTTCCTAGTCATCAACAATTTATTACCGGAATCAACTATCACTCGAAAAAATCTTTGATAAACTATGTTTTCAGATCCTAATAGTTTGACCTGTTTGTAACTAGTGTCTATAAGAAAAGTTACAAGTCTATTCTTTGATAATTTCTTTGATTTTCAGTGTATTACCATGCAGCATTCCATGTAAGGACATCTACAGCTTGAATCATGACTATGTTAAAATAACATTTTCATCTATGGATAACTTTCCTACATGTAAAGTTTGCAGTATTTCAATCGGCAATAACTTTCCCACATTTATTCCACTAGTCTTAGTTTCTAATTAAAGATCTGTTCAGCATGTGCGACACAATTTACGGGACAGTGGGTGAATCAGCTTAATTTGTTCTTGGGAATAATGTTGATTTGGTCAAAGAAATCTTTAAAGATTTATTGCAGATAATAGACACTCGAGTTTTTGTTTTGAATTTCCCTGTCAAACTTCAATTAGATGTTATAAGTCTTGTTTACAGATCCTAATCAATTGATTAATCAACTCATTATCTATTAATTTGATTCTTGTCATTAGAGTTGAAAACATCTACGAGTGAATTAATCGATTTGTTTTATAAAAGGATCGATTAGTTTAATACGTAATGAAATCAATAACATGACACCGAATTTAAATCGATTAAAACGTAAATGAATCGATTAATTTTGATACCTAAGTGTTTTTAGTTGATATAAATTTATTCTAATCGATTAAAACGACTAAACCAACATCCTCGAGATCAGTTCAATCGATTATTTCGATATTTCAATCGATTAAAATCGTATCGGACAGATATCGATAAGTTATTTTAATCGATTAATATTGATTTATATCAATTAAAACAATTAATTTAAATACACGTAACCTGGTTTCGCAGCTTCGATCTTCAAGGGATTCCCGAGACTTGTTCCTGCAAAACAATTAAGTATTTTTCTGGTACCCTTTATAATTATTGGGTCCTGATCATGTTATTTGAAAAGAATTAATCTTTGGAACCCATTTCATTCTTCCTTTAGGAATGGCATACTTTTTGATTCTCGCAATATTTAACGAAATGCCCTTTCTTCATGCAAGTAAAAACATTTGATAAATGGAGATGAAAGCTGTTTTACTATATGCAAAATAATTTTTGAATGCTCTGGTTTTCTTTCCAATGGTTGGTGTATAACCTATACCACCACGTTCAATAACTAACTTTTGGGAATCAAGTATCTTATCAAGATTATTCTTTCCTTGTGCTAATTTAGATGAAGTTTTTACTAGGTATGATACTTGTTTCGTAACTCGGGACAGTTTTTGCAATCTTCAACATTACACATGCAATCGGTATTATTTTCTAATTCTAACTTTTCTTCATCAATTATTTTCTTTTCAAGAATAATGATCTTGTTTTCTAGTAACCTATTCATGCTTTTCAATTTTCTCGTTTTCAGTTTCTAATTTCTTTGCTACTTCATGTATTTCAAAGAAAGCATCTTGTAATGAGCTATAGTTTATAGATTCGGAACTTACACTTGGTATTTGATGATTCAGAGTTGACCATCAAGCATATTTACGGTGCTTCTTCATAGGTCTTTTCAAGGATCTTCCACATTTGTGCGAGCAGTTTGGCAGTGTGCAATCTCGAAAAGATCATCTCTCGTTAAGGGCGGATAAGATGATATTCTTGGCAATACAATCATCTTGGATTACTGTTAGCAATATCGGTTTCCTGTTCAATAACATTCCAAGCATTTATACTAACGAGATTCAATGAAGATTTTCATCCTTATTTTCCAATATAGGTAATCTGTTCCACTCAACAGTGGAGGTCTATCAATGCACGCTCCTCGGAAAATTCCATGGATCGAAGTAACTTGATTAACTTTCAAGCACCTCGCTCTCGATGCCAATTGTTAGAAAAGTAGTTTTAAATCAAGAGGGGGGTGAATTGATTTTTGAAAGTTTTTCGCAATACACAGATTATCTAATTCGAAAATTAAGATTACTTATCAATTCACAAATCACAAAGCAATCAAACAGCTTTAAGTGCAGCAGCAGAAATTAAAGAGAGAAAGGTTAGGAAAGATTTCACAGGTAATTTTATACTCGGTTCACCCAATACCAGGGCTACGTCCGGACTCCGGCCAAATTCCGAATTAGGTTCCACTAGAATAGATGTT